TTTATTATTTTTATATATATATATATATATATATATATATATTTTTGTAAATTATGACCTGGTCATGTTGAGTTTAATTTATTTTTTACTCCCAAACTAGTCATTGTTCCAGTTGCAAACTTGCATTTCTTGTATTTCATAACACAACTCTATTTGATACACTTCTAATACGATGCTGCATTAATGTTAACCAGTATAACCATACTCTCTCACTCTGTTAAAAAAAAAACTGCCTAAAATTTGTTCAATTAGATGTTGATGCAGCAGATGCACTGAAACCTCATTTAAAGCCTGTCTCTTCTTAATGTGGAAGTGCATGAGCTCTTACCTGAGTTGTCTAATGTGAGTCTGGAGAGCGTCTGCTGTGATTCTGATCTGTGTGTGGCTCTCAAAGCTCTTGAGAAGTTCTCATGACCATCACGGGTTCAGCTCTCACACTCACAGCCCCTCCATCTGACTGTCTGCTGACTGCCTTTACCGCGGTAACTGACCTCAGATCAGCATGATTCATGTCAGTGAAAACTGTGTAACTAGATTACAGAGAAAACTAATGTTTATGCTTAAGTTACGTGTGTGAAATGATCATTAAACCATGTATGAGTTTAATACTGTGACTGATGAATCCCTTCATTTCTACAGATATTTAAGCCTCAAGACTTTGAATATGAAAGTCTTGAGGCTGATCTAAATTGTAGACCTGTACATGATGTATGTGCTGTGACTCCGACAGTCACCTGTAGAGAGCACTTCACTCTGATGCAGATTCACAGGGAAAAGATGGCTTTACATTACTTGGCAATTTAGTAGCATTAAATATACATATGTGCACATTTAGACAAATACAAGATGTAAGAATACAGTAAACCTTTGAAATCGCTACATTTGTTTTCACTTATGTAAGTGACTGAAATAAACCCCAGTGACTCTTTTAAAGTCTCACATGATGTAGCGGTTTTATTTAACACCTTTCACAACACAGATTGTTTTCAAGCAGCTTTACACACACACGCACATACATGCATACATATATATATCAGCTTTATATATATTTTCATTTACATTTCTGTGATATAACACAGATGTGTGTTTTCATGATATCTAGTGATATTTTAGTGAGTTTCTCTGAGATGCATGCCACAGTTTAAAGACTGGACGCGAGATGGTGTTTATTTACTATCACTTTAAGATTTTCAGTTCAAAGCAGATGTATGCATGTGTATATTATACAGTAAATAAGACAGAACTGCTCTGAGCCTCACTGTTTTCAAGATGCCTATGATTCTCAGAAGTGGTTTATGTCCAGGATCTCCCTCGCTCAATAAATTAGGAAAGTGAGAGAGATTTGGCACACTGCCTGCTTACACCACAAAGAAGGAAAGAATGAGGAAAAGCTACAGACACACACACTAACACTCGCACTCACTCACTCACACTCACACACACACACACACACACTAAGTGTGTTATTAGTCTACTACTTTTAAACTAAAAATAGGAAAGTATACTTTGAGTCTACTTTTTCTGTACTTCTCAGAAATGGGCTTTATGTTCTTCTCAGAAATATACTTAAAATGACATTTAAGTATACTTGAAAAAGTCTAAATATGTTTGAGCTACTGTATACCTGTGCTCCTAGAATCCCTGTTTTCATTGTTATACTGTAGGACGCTAGTACACATCTTCTGTACAGAATTTCCAAAAAACACAAGTGAATTAATACCTAAATAGGGACATAGTAGTATACTTAAAGTATGATGTAAAGTTCACTTAAAGAAAACTTACGAGTATACTTGTAGTTTACTGAGACTATACTTCAGTGTACTAAAATGCTACTACAAGTATTTAATAAGTAAACTATCAGTATTCATATAAGTTCACTTTTAGTATAGTTGCAGTACAAGCTAAAATATAGATGTAAACTAGTTGTGTACTCAAAGTTTACTACTGTTATATTCAAAGTATACTTAAAAGTATACTTTATATACTAGAAAGTGGGCCAATTTAGTCCCAAGGAGTATTGAAATAGTACACTTACAAGTATACTACTAGTATACCGATATTTGTATACTTACTACATAAAGTATACTTAAAAATACTTGAACTTTACTTAAGTATACTTAATACAATAAACTTGAAGTATACTACTTTTTGGTAAGGGAACTGATATTCTATAGACTTGAGATCTAATTCAGACTTGTAATTCAGTTTCAAAAATACAGAACACTGACAAATGACAAACAGTGCAGTGATTTAACACGGTATATATTCCAGCTGCAGTATGAGATGGAGTTTATAAATACAAAGGTTTAATTTAACCTCTTCTAAAGTCTAATGCAGATGTGATGTTCTGAGCTGTAATACCACACTTATTCGATCATGTGATCATAAGCTCACATCACTGAACTATATATATAACGACAGATCAGTGGCTCACACACGGTTTCAGACTGAAGAATCAGAAACTTCCTCTGCTTTACTGTAATGGTGAATGTGTGGGGGTTTGACCGTGAAAACTGAAGTGTAACGCAATCTGAAGATGCACAGCAGTTGTGTTATTTTGAAATGGTGTATTTGTTTGATTTTCTAACTTTCCTTGTAAATAATCAGTAAGTAGATTTTTTTGTAAGTGTGAGTTTGTTCATGTTTTCATCAGTTGGGGTGAAGCTGCAGGTCAACAGGTAAATCATTAACAGTATTTGCATGAAATGAGAGAGATTTCTGTGAAACTGATAAATGAATGTGTTTGTGGTTTGAGCACTGGAACAGTCAGTCTGATCCTGGTGAAAGCTTTCATTTATCACAGTTATGTATTTTCACGCGTTCTGATAATCAGAAGATGCAGCTGTTTGTGTTGGTGTCGTGAATGATCTGCTGGTGTCATCAGTGTTGATATTTTCGTCATTCTGACATCTGAATTCAGCTCAGGATCTTCAGACAAGCTGCAAAAGTTATCAACTGGGTTTTTGAGTTTCATTGTTCCACAGATTTGTAATATATTTGATTTTATTGTATTTTTACATTTTGTAATCTATAATTTAAGAGGTCTAAAGAGTCTCAACACTGATGCGTTGCTTTTGTGGAGTTCATGTCTGATCGTGTCCAAGAGCGTCACAGCTCATGACAGTCGTTTTCTTCTAGGCCATATTTATTATGATTGAAATGAAATGGGGACCATTTCAGGACATCTTTCATACAGAAATAATCACCTTCCATGTCTTAAACCAGAGGTCTGTAACGAGTTAGTGAGTTGAACATTTCAGAGAATAATAATATAAAAATAGAAATAAAATAATGTTACTAAAACCTTTAAATAAAGTAAAAACAACTGTTTCATTCTAAATACTAGAAAACCAGAAATCATGATTAATCAATTTATCTTGATAATAGCAGTAATGGTGGATAAAACAGTGTTCATAAACAGCAGTGATTAGCCAGATATTATTTTACATTAGTTTATTTTTAACAGTATAAATAGTATAAACGTGACAGTATAAGGTTGCCTTTACATTGTAGGAAGGTGGTTCTTCATGAGAAGATTATTATATTTAAGGATCTGCAACAAAAGTCTTAAACAGCTCTATACAATCAGACAGTAACATACTGTATATATAGTTAAAAATGACCAAATTAAAGCATGTGCTACATTTACAAATTAATGTGTAACTATTTTGGGGAGTGTGTGTGTGTGTGAGAGTGAGTGAGTGTGTGTGAG